CCCAACCAACTAATTGCTGGGACTTCTTCCAAGGGCAAGCGTCAGCCCGAGTCACCTGCCTTCCCTTCGGGGCTGAGCAGCCATCCTTGGGTTATGCAGACTGCAGCCTCCCCACCGGTTATCCGGGCTGCCAGACGCCCTCCCCAGCGTGGTAGCTGCCGATCCAGCCATGAGCCCCAGGCAGGCAAAGCCCATCATCTTAATTTTGGACACTACCAAACACCAGTGCCTTGATTTAGGCGCTGGATAATGTTTCCAGTCACCGGGAGCTCCGGCTTCGCTTCCACTCTGAATTGAGACCTGAAAACCCATCACTCCCAGTCTGCAATTTTCCCTGGGCGCGCAGCACCCTGGTTTGCATGAGCGGCAGCACAGGCACATTTGGGAAGGAGGAAGCAGAAGGTGGTTGATGTGCACTCTCCCATGCAAGGTTTTGGACATGTGCTGCCGTTGCCAGAGGGTAGCAGGGGCATCCCGGATGATTTGGCTGTCATCACCTCCACGGATAAGCCCTGGTGGCACTGAAGAGGCAGCAACTTATTTTTATTCAAAAAAATGTTGTGGGCTTTTCCCTTGTAAGCAACCTCCCACTGAGATCGACTGAGATGGGCCGTCCCCTCCTGCATTTCATTTTGCCTGGATGGTACTTGCCTTTGTAACCTGACCTCCTTTGAAGTCGGGGAAGAGCCAGTGTACCTGGCTGGAATGCCTTCTGTCATCAATAAACAAAAGAGAGAGGAAATTGTTTGCAAGTGAAATAACAGGCACTGCCTGTGGCTGTGTACACATGTCACAGGATAAACTAACTCATCGGTTTTTTTTCCTTCCCCCCCTCCTTCTTTAAAGGCAAATAAGTCTCCCAATAAATGCATAAGAACAGCCAAATCTCCTTGTCGTCATGCTCGATTGGCCAAACTGGGGATTTGTTACACTAGTTCAGCTGATCACGCAGAAAAATACTCTTTACCACTGCATTTGATTTCTGGGAAGACAGCAGCTCCCATTTGCTCGGGAGAGCTAATCGCCCATTTTATTGTTAACCTCGTTAACAAACTTCAGAAATCCCTTAGCAGGATGGAAAAGATTGCTGCTGTTTGAGAGTTTAAGGTGCCAGTTTTTGGAAGACTTTTGAACAGTCGAAGGGCTAGCCTTGCTGCGTGGAGCTGCCGCTGAGAAGGACTTGCCGCTGAGCAGGACTGGCACCTGCAAGCAGCCGTCCTCGTGGGCAAAGGCTAGAGGAGCTACGCAGGTGCTCCTCCGCGCGCAGCGGACGCAGGACCGCTGCTACAGATTCTTCCATCGGCACTGACGCAAAGCGTGACAGAGCCCGGCAAACAAAATAAATTCCCTTTCACCCAACAGCCTGGAAATGAAAAGACACGAGGAGGTGGGAGAGGAAGGCGCAGCGGGCCAGATAAGCTGGTACCGCCTGGCAGAGGAGATGCGGGGCCCCATCCCCAGTGCCGATAGCACGATTCACATCAGAGGCAGCCTCCCACGCGCTGGACCCGTATCTCTCGCCTTTGAAATTGTGCCCGGCTGGCAGTTCCCAGGGCGAGCGCGGTGCCGGCTGCGGGGGACACGCGGGTGGGCGCCGGTTGGGGCAGACCGCAGCGGGCATGAGGCTTTCCTGCGCGGGCTGAAGGTGGTGCGAAACTTCGGGCGGGTAAAAGGGAGTTGTTTTACTGACACGGCCATGCCAGGAAGCGCTTGAGCACTGGCTCAGGTCTTGCAGAGGAGCAGGCGGGCGGTGGGACTGGAGGGAGAGCTGACGGCGAGGACCAAGCTGCTGAAGGCAGCACTTTGCCGCACAGGGGGAAGAGGACCCTGTGTTTTGCAAACTCCAGCCTAATCGCTTTCTTTCCCCTTCCAGCCTGCCCCCCTCCACAGATTTGAATCCTTCAAAGCCAGGAAACTGGAGAACTTTCTGTTTGTTGTTGCAAGGTCCTTTAACCCAGTGGGTTTTCCCCCTAGGCATACCTGGCTGTAATTAAATCCCTGGCTCTTTAATCATCTCTTTTGCTGTGCAGGGGGGAAAAAAAAAAAAAGCAAAAGCAAGAGGGACAGACTGGTGATAAGATGATACGCAATGTAAATCTCTCCTCCAGGAATCTCTCTCATCTTTTCAGGATCACTCCGTACCAACTTGTCCCTCCAGAAGCTGCACAGCTAGAGGTGGAGTTTGTATAACAATACAAATTTAAACACAGTAAATAGAACAGATGTCTTATGATTTCTTGATCCTCAGGGTAATAAATATCTACCCCTTTGTCCCACCCAGAGTTTTTGTTTGGTGTGTTTTGCTTTGTTTTTTTGGAGAAAAACTTCTTAAAGGAAAGCTTCCCCCACCCCCTCCCGCAGTTTGAAATCTAAGCATCAGATGTGACTTTAGATACCAACCAGGGACTCCAGGTATCTCGCTTGCCTAATCCTCCGGCAGCATTTTCCAAGCCAGACACAATGCCTGGAAGTTCTCCATGCTATTGTGCTTGCAACTCCAAAAAAAAGCTGGAGTCTAGGCCTGCTTCTGCCCATTATGCAAAGTTAAATTATTTTAAATTATTATGAAATTAATTATTCTCTGGAGGGAGACTGAACGGCATCTCACACTCCCAGGCATTCACTCTGAGGGAAATTGCTTCTGGGATGAGAGGACTCTGGAAGCCCAGCCCCGGAGGACAGCGGGATTGCGTCCCTGACGGGCTCTCACACCTCTTGCCTGGAGTCCCACCAGCAATCAGATAAAGACGTTTCATGAGCATACCATGAGCAAGGGAATCTCTGCGATGCAAGACTCCCGGCACAGAGGTACCCCTCCCACTATCTGCCTTCCTCTCCTCATTTCCTTCTCTCCCACCCGACTCTGACTCCTCCTCGATTTACGCTGGCACAGCCCCAGCTCACCAGACAGCCCCACGCTGTCAGGGCGCTTCCAGTACCACTGCAGAGCCCTGGATTGCTCGAATTACCCCCCACTTCCCATTTTCACTTCCCCATCAGACTGCTCCAGCCTTGGTCGTATTCCATTTTCCAAGCAACGACTTTGTTCCCTCGTCAGACAGCTCTTTGTCCCGATGCTCTGACACCGCCTTCCCGCGCTGTGACACCGCCTCCCCACACGCCATTCTCGGACCTCGTTTGGCTCTGTCGCGACCCAGGAGTGAGCCTCCTTCCCACCTTCTCGCCCCCGCTGCGCTTAAGCCTGCCCCACACTTTCCAGTATCCTCTGCTATTAGATGATGCTCTTTGCCTAAGCACAAAGAGGGAATTGGTGCCAGCTCCTGGGCCAGTACTTCCTCCAGAGCGCCGGGAAGCCCCCGCTCCCCGCAGAGAGGTCCTCCCACGGGAACCGTTACAACGGTACATCAGCAGAGGTATTACTTTGGGCCACACATCTCCGTGAGACAGGCTGGGAGCAGCAGCAAGGCAACCTACGTCCCTCCACGTAGGGGTACAAGTGGCAGCAAAGAGATGTTATCACCAGTGCTGGGGTGAAGGGTGACCAACGCTGTGGGCAGCCAACTTGGCAAAGGGGAGAGGGTGCCGAGGATGCCCCATGCCACGAGCGGAGGTCATTGGTGATACACGCGCAGCATTGAGAGGACAAAACCATCACCAGCACCAGCTGAGCCATCTCACGGCTGGCAAGTGCCATGAGCGGTTCCCATGTGGACAGAGCTGGTGCTCAGCAAGAGAGCAACCAAGAGAGGTACTCTGGGGAGCAACCAGCCAAAGCCCACGAGGCTCTTGGGCTCCAAACCAGCCCTGAATCTGCCTTCCAAACCAGGAGGGATCCTCTCAGGCTGGGCACAGGGCAACCCCCATACATTGAGGTCCTGCGGGGTCATAAAGTGACAAGACGGGACCAAGCATGATGGGGTGAGGCTGAGGAGCTCCAGATGGGATCCCTCAGCAGGGCTGCCTGAATTAGCTGGGCTGCTCACTAACATCCTTCATCTGCAAAGGTGGCAAACGCTTCGCCTCTTGTGGGGTTGGTGTTTCTGTGCTGATCTCCCCATGCAAAGAGGTGTTTGGGATACCGATGACAAAGTGCTTGACTTGCCTAGTGAAAATTAGCTGGACTGACCCAAAGCCATTCAGAATCTCCTCTCTAGGTGCTCTGCAGCTGGCTTGAATGGGAGGAACAGTGAGAAACAGAGATGTTTGCAGCGCATTGGCCACTTCTCACCACAGTAGGTTAAATGAGGCTGAGAAGCTGAAAAATTAGGTTAAGCAATTGGAGCATAATATCCTTGAGGCGGGAGAGGAAAGGAGGAAGAGACCATTGCTATTCGAGCCATCCTGGGATTACCGATGGGCCTGGGAAAGGAGGCTGCAACATTACCTTCTGTGCCAGAGGAAGATGTTCGTTTTTAGAAGATCTCATTAAAAAAATAGGAACTACGATAGCACTACTGAATGTTGGTAGGAACTGGCAGACTGGGCAATGCTTTTCTTGGCGCATGACTTCTGGGGGAGAGCTGAGTAACGGGCTCAGCTAAGCCTTGCTCGCTGTGCCGTTCCCGGTGTGCGTCTGAAGCCAGCAGTGCATGCAACGTGTGCTGGGAGCGGGCGAGACCCCGGGACACGGCGCTGGGTCTATCAGCTGGCCGTGCTGTGCAACCGCCCAGGCACTGCGTTCAGTGCCTACAGGGGGGTTTAAAGTAAACGGGACATGGCTCGATTTCTATTTTCCCCTTCATTTCTGTGACATCTTCTCCCATCTATAAAACTCCTTTAACGTGACCCGTTTTCAGGTCCAGGGAGGAATGCAAACAGGAGGGGGATGTTTCCTCTAACAGGAGGGCTCAGAGCAAGCCCAGGAGAATGGGAACCTCCCCCCACCAATATTTTATGGAAAGGCAAACTAAGGAATGAGAAATCAAAACTGAGGATCTGGTTGATGAAATTCATTGAAAAGGACATTATATTCCTTATGAATAAAGCCATAATTTACTCAGTGAAGTGGGGAAGCCAGTCAGCAGATATTAATCACTGTTCACCCATCCAGACTGGTGGAATTTGCTTGCACCTTCATCTGCATTTATATCTCCAGCAGTATCAATTCACTGTACAACAGAAACAAATGCATCTGAAATGCCAGCTGAGGCAAGATGAAGGCACACAAGCAGCTCTGGGGCTCGGCAGGACAGAGCTGGCACATGTTGCATTTTCTGTATACATCTTCCACTGGAGGAACCCCAACAGCAAGCCAGTCACTATCTGCAAGAGACACCTTTGGGTGGTTCCAGCCAGAGGCTTGATTTGAAAATAAAGACAGAAATTCTAACGTTTTACAATTTAAAAGCCAGATGGTGAGAATATAATTTGGACCAGTTGAGGATCTGTTCCTGTATAAACCAGAGCAGAGCTTGGAACTGCCAGTGATCAAGTGGAACGAACAAGCAACAGAACAGAAAGCAGTGCTGTGCAAGCTCGTGGGCAAGATGGCTTTGCTGCCACGACGAATCGGGTGTCTTTCAAAAAAAATAAAGCATTTGTTTCATCTTTCCTTTTTGGTGTTCTGACAGCAAACCCCAATGCAGCATCATGAAGAAAAGGAGTTTGTACCCTATGACCGCTTCGCTCCTCTTATATTTCTGATGTCCAGAGTCACCTGCTGTAGAATACGCATAGCAACACGGACAGAAACTGCACGGATAGATGAAAGAGAACTGCCTGGCTGACAAAAACTACTTTCTGCGCCAAATGCCCCAAGGCAAAGACTCCCCAGCAAAGCAGACGCTGCACCTCAGCCTGTAGGCCACTGCTGGATTAGAGCGTGGTAAGAGGTATGACTGGCCTCTGTGGGATGAAACCCTGTGACTGTGGGAAGGGGCAGGTCCCTGGTTAGCACTGACATCTGATTATTTGTTAGGAAGCAGAGTGAATGCTATAATCCCCATATCTTCCAGAGCGGTATCTATACATAGGGTGCACTGGCATGGCAGCACAGGTAACCTTATCTACAGTAGTTTCAACCAAACTAACTTGGGAAACAATAACAGTGAAGACAGACAGATATCCCAGACTTAACAGCAGTGTCCTGAAGACAGATATCCTGGACCTAACAGCAGAGTCCTATTGCTGCCCACGTTCGCCAGCTCAAAACAACCACACCATATCCATGCTGCAACCCCAAATTTGATTTCAGCGTAGACGTATAAAACAAGGATTTAACTGATAGGTCTGAGTTAAGAGCATAGCTGTCGGGAAGTCCCTCTCCATTCAAAGGGGGGAGAAGATAGCAGAGGGTGACTCAGCCCCTCTAAAACCTAAGTGATTCCTGCAGACCCTGGTCTAAGGAGAGGGCACGGGAAGACTAACACAGGGAAAGCCTCTGTTAGCAGTGGAGTTTGGATCAGAAGCATGCTTTGGAAAGCAGCTGCTGATCACCCCAATTGTCATGCGGTTTCCATGCTGTGGAGCAGCAAACTGGCTTTCTGTCTGATGAGATGGATGGGAGAGTGCATCCAGCCAATAGCAGACGTTGAGCTCATGGGACTGAGTGACAGCTAGTCCAAAGCCATCCTCCCAGAACGGACATGGCAAAGGCACCAGCTCCTCAGCTCCAGTGGGTTTACCCTGAGGACTCCACTTGCTGACGTACAGCCGTGCTCGTCACCTGGTGTCCAAGGTGCCCGGATTTGGTGAGACCAGGGCAGAGCCCAAGCGACTGGTAACACTATGCCAAATCCAAATCGCAAGGGAAGGAACTAAAGCTGCCATTTCCCAGATGAGAAGCTCCTCCAGATCACACAGGAGCTCTGCGGCAATGCCCAGGAAATGAAGGCGGATTTAATAACAAGACCACCCTCCTTCAGGATATTGCTTAACTTGCATTCCTG